TGTAAAGTTCTTCAAGTTTTGAGCATTATCTTTCAAATTCTGAATATTGATTGTGTTGCAGGTTTGTTAGAAACATTGCGTACGACAATATTGCTGATAATCGCTATACGCTATTTGGGCGCTCGGAGTCGTGTGAAATATAGAATTTAGTCCTATCATTGTAGAATTTGTATAGAATGATACTTGGGATTTGGGAATTAGAAATTAAGATAGATATTTGTTTGGTGAATAATACGAATTGGAGCTGATAAATGTCACGTGTTATGGTCATACTTGAAAGACGATTGTGACAACAAGCTGACTTTGTCAGTTCATATCATTAATCTCGGTAGCCCAGCAGCTGTACTATCTCGTTGCAGTATGAATATTTCTTCCCTTCATTTACCAGAGTACATGCATGGTCTCGGTTGAAAATAGCTCTTTCACCGAACTAAAAAATATATATATATATATTACTCTGGGTTGCAAATTAATAATTTATTAAATATAAAATTAAGTTTCTTTTTAACTTTTTGATGCACGTGTAAATGCTTAAGGGTAAATTTTTTCCCTTTAAATAAAATAAAAGAAACGTAAAGAAAATAAAAGAAAAATAAAAATTTAAAAACCCTAAGGCAGCACATAAGCGTTCTCGCAAAGCCCACGCCCGCGCGATTCACTAACGGCCACCACACGCACGCGATTCCCTTCATCATCTCTCCCCTGTCCTCCTTAATCGTTCGCCGCCGCTGTTCCCGGTTTGTTTCTTTTTCTCCTTAAATCTCCTGAAATTTGTTTAGTTTCAAATCTTATCTTGGTGTTAAATTGAAATTAGATTTCATAGTCTGTTCCACTGAATTGGATAGAGAATTCTGTTCAACTAATTTCACATTTTATGGTTTATGATCTCAGAAATACCATAATTTCAGGCAAGGAGCTCTGTAATGGCAATCAGAGCATTCTCCTCCAAATTCCAGGTCTCCATTTCACTTTTCTGCCCTTTCTTAAGAATCAGTATTTTCGCTCACCGACGCCCATTCAGTTCTCTCGCTACAGCAACAGCCGCAGGATTAGACTCACCACTTCCATTTCTCGTCAGTGAGATATCTCGCATCCTCAGCGATCGCAGAAGCCCTCACCATGACTTGGAGTTCGCTCTCTCCTCTTTCTCCTCCAATGTATCGTCCGATCTCGTCGAGCAGGTTCTCAAAAGGTGCAAGAATATTGGATTCTCTGCTCACAGATTCTTCATCTGGGCTAAAAGAATTCCGGGTTTCGAACACAGCGCCGATAGCTATCGCATTCTCGTTGACATCTTGGGAAGCAGTGGGCAATTTGCTATTTTGTGGGATTTTCTTATAGAAATAAGGGAGACTCGATGTGCTGTAATCAATCGGGAACTTTTCTGGCTTGTTTTCAGAGCTTATAGTAGAGCTGACTTGCCTGAAGATGCTGTTCGAGCTTTCAATCGAATGGTAGAGTTTGGGATAAGACCTGGAGTTGATGATCTTGATCAGCTCTTGTATGTTCTATGTAAGAGGAAACACGTCGCTCATGCCCAGCAGTTTTTTGATAAAGTTAAGAGTGAGTTCAATCCGAGTGTGAAGACGTATAGCATTTTGACAAGGGGGTGGGGAGATGTGGATGACTCAAGCAATGCCCAGAAGGTGTTTGATGAAATGCGGGAACGAGGTTGTTTGATAGATGTGCTTGCTTACAATAGTCTCTTGGAAGCTCTGTGCAAAGCTGGGAAAAGGGATGAAGCGCACAAGATGTTTCAAGAAATGGGTTCAAATGGCGTCACCCCGGATGCAGGTACGTATTCGATTTTCATCCGCTCGAGCTGTCAAGAGAACGATTTGCATACGGTTTATAGGGCCTTAGAAAGAATGAAGAAACACAACCTTTTCCCTAATGTGTTTACTTACAACTGGGTCATCAAGAAGCTTTGCAAAGATCAAAAGGTGGAACAAGCCTACGAACTTTTGGATGAAATGATTGAGAGTGGAGTTACGCCAGATACATGGTCCTACAATGTAATCCTAGCATATCATTGTGATCATAACGAAGTCAATGGTGCTCTTAAGTTGATCAAAAGAATGGATAGACTCAATTGTGTTCCTGATAGACATACTTACAATATGGCTTTGAAGATGCTGATAAGAGTGGGAAGATTTGACAGAGCCAATGAAGTGTGGGAGAGTATGGGAGATAGAGGATTTTACCCTTCTGTTTCAACTTATGCTGTCATGATTCATGGCCTCTGCAAGAAAAAATGGAAGTTAGAAGAAGCGTGCAAGTACTTTGAGATGATGATCGACGAGGGAATACCTCCATATATTTCGACTGTGGAGTTGTTGAAGAATCGGCTTCTGGGGATAGGCTTCAAGGATCAGGTCGTGATACTCGGCGATAAGATGAGACGAAGCAGTTCTTGCTCCATACAAGAGCTGGCTAACGTGATGAGCGGCGGCAAATGTCATGAGGTTCATACCATGTCGTCTAAAAGTGAGGAGACAGAGCTTGAAAGTGACTGAAGAAAGAAGAAATGATTTTGGTGGAGGAAGTAATTGTTTGGTGAGTTGAGTATTGCCGGTACTGTTCTGTTCTTCATCTGAAAAAATGTGTATAACATGCAACAAAATGGTTTTGGGCTGCAAGTTCGCAACTGCGCCGTCGCTTGGAACTTCTAAAACCAGGTACCAATATTGGTCACGACCAAGCTTTCCAATTAATATCATGCTATGAAACTGTTAGGAGGGTGAAAGTTCCATATTGACTAATTTTCTAGGGAATGATCATGGATTCATAATCAAGGAATCATCTCTCCATTGGTACGAGGCTTTTTGGAGAAGCCCAAACAAAGTTCAAAGTGGACAATATCATACCATTGTGAAGAGTCTCTAACAGAAATTACAATCAAACGGTGGACCAAAATCAGGAAATCACGAGTGCTGTACTTCTGCTGTGAGATCAATATTCTGAGGGCAAAGTTGCTCGACTGTAAAGGAGAGAGGCGAAGGCGAAGCTGCTCGACTGAACAAAAAAACAAACTACTAACTTCTCCAAGTAGGGACTGCCAATTGCTTTTTCACTTTTTTTTTTTTTTCCCTTCAAGAATCTATCTATGATAACAAACAATTGTAGGAAATATATATTTTAGTCATTTCAATTCAATTAAATTTTAGAAAATTCATAGCAAATATGGAGTAACAGCTAAACCACTGCTTTAAAATGTTGGGTCTTTACGGTTCATATCAAAACTCGAGATTATAAGTTCTAGCTTACGTGGTAAGCAGTAAGTGTCCTAATGTCCAAACAACAACCATCTTGTCGATATATCATTGTTTCAAAATGTTTGGTTTAAAGACTCTTACAAAATGTTTTGTTGCCCACGTGAGAATAAGTGAATTTCATTGCGTGTGTTTGGGGTATAAGTTTTTGTATAAATGTATCCCCATGCTATTAAGTATTTTGATTTAAGTTCTTTTCTTTCTAAGAGGTGGAATAGAATAACCCGGTTGAAGCGTAATGATCATGCGTCTGTAATGCATTATATGTCCCATAATAGGTCCCATTCTTCTACCCTTTCCCGGAAGTTGATGAATATTCATAGCTATTACCTTGACACCAAAGAAGAGTTCGACCCAATGCTTTATTTCTGTCCTAGTTGATCCCGATTCGACATTAGAAGTATATTGATTTTTCCCCAATAACCGTAAGATTATGTTCCTAACTCCTTATTTCAAAATGTTCGGCATATTGAATCGGCTACAAGCTCCTACCAGCAAGCATCCGTAACTCACTCAAAATTAAAACCTAGTTGTATAATACCATCTTATGAAATATTAATTTTCTAAATTAATAAATTTATAAAAGTAAATTAAATATTTTGTGGTTCATTTGGATACAAACTCATTATATAGGACACACTCAAGTGTCTCGACATGAACAATTTGAATCAAATCATTTTCATTTCTAACAATTACAAGGCTCACTATTTCAATAATGTTTTCAGGATAAAACATTATTAATCGAACATAATCTTTCCATATGTCAATAACATTTTGTTGAAAAATTACAATGATAATCTTAGATTTTTCTTAGGATAGTAAAATAATCAAAATCATTATAAACATTAAACAATTAATTATGAGACTTTATGACACAAATTTCAACACATACAAACACAACAATTTCACCCTACCAACCCGTAAGTATGTCAACGGTGGTTCACTTCTAGTTTCAAATTTAAATTGATGCTATTGAAATCAGCCTAGCCGATCGTTTTTATGTTCAACTCAATCAGATTTCAATTGCATCAATGATATTTCATTCATTCAGAAACAAAGCTTAAAGCCGGTTCATTGAGTCATCAACAATGCTTAATATTAATATTCGTCTAAAAATGGTAGCTATATTGATCTTAAATAGGTCATAAACGATTTCAAAATAGTTTAAATGGTTGAAACGAGCTAAGTGTCACGGTCATGCTCGTCCAAGACGTGTTGCCCATAGCCGCATGCCCATGACAAGTCCAACCCCTTATGTCTTTTCATATTCTAGTGTTTTATTGTTATATTTCTAGAAAGTATGACGTTTCAGAAATATCATGTCTAGGTCTATTAGACATGAAATGCCTCAAAATGTACATACGACTAGTTGTCAACTTCTCCTTACCCAATGTTATATATTGTGAGCCGTTGTTATTTCTCTCTTGCTTGCGTATATAACGTCTCTTTCAAAAATCTCTCTTGCGAAAATTTCTCTTTACCCTTGTTTTCTAAAACCTTTTCTTAAAATCGAGGCCAGAGGCTCGAGTATACGTCGGTTGGCCGTAGACGATGTAAGAATGAATTGGCTTAGCTTACTTGTAGTTGGAAAGTGAGTGCCGCACAATCGCAAGTCTACTGCTATTAACAGTGCTATTGTGACAGTAGACCTACTAGAGATTTATTTTTAAATTATTATTATTATTATTATTTGACTAATACTATTTTAGTGCAAATTCTCAAATACATATTGAGTCTGAGTTTGAGACGAGCTCCATTTCCAGGCCCTAAATCCATCTCTCTCGTTCTCATCCAAAATGCTAGCTCGCCTGGCTGCCAATCGTCTTGCCGGAATCCGTCAAAGTTTCCGTCAGGTTTTATCTCACTTTCTCTTTCACTCTCTTCCATTCCCCAATTGCCTTTCCCTAATTTGAGTCTTTGTCTGCTGCAGACTTCGCGATGCCTCTCAACTGCCCTTAACTATGTGAGTCCATGACTGTTGTGCTTTGTTTTCTTGATTTCTTCGCTGTGTTGCGTGAATTGAATGAAATCTACAATTTTTTTGTGTTGAGATCATGAATTTTAACGTGTTGCAGCATATAGATACGCCGGATAACAATTCCGATCTTCCCTGGGAATTCTCCGAGACGAACAAAAAAAAGGTTGGTGTTTTTTGAATGCTCTCGGAATTTGAGGATTTCTGGCGTTTTTGTTCCAAGACGGGAATGTTTTAACCTTTATTGGTCTTGGAAATCTGGATGACTTCTAGATCGATATTCTTCTGTATTTGGCTAGTCTTTTGACAAATTTTTTTTTTAAAAAAAAGAGGATTATTCTGCTAATTTGATTGAACAACCGGAAAGGATGTAGGAGACTTGCTACGGTATGTTGTTTATAGCCATGTCTGCTTCGAGCCCATCAATTTTATGGCACATCCTCTAAGGAAAGAGCAATGTAAGTGTGTGACCAATGTATGTAACTAGGATGATGCAATGGATACCTCCGCATATCTTTTTGGGGTCTTTTGATGGTTAGAATGTTGCTTTGGAGGATTTAACCAAAATAATAGACAATATACATGATTCCACAAAAGGATTGATAGATAGTGCTTAAAAGTCTTCTTTCCCCACCCGTACATGAACCCGCAATATCCTATCATCGTGGGTTCTGTATTTGGTGATTGATACAATGAAGTAGTGTCTGCATCGTTGTTTTTGTCACATGCTGTGCTTTTAGAAACTGATTCTAGAAAACCTTATTATCACAAAAATGTGATGAAGATTTAAAATCATCTTCGACATTGTGTCATGGGCGGAAGCTTAACTCTCTTTTTTGTTTGTAAAGAGAGATTTTCTAGTGGGCTTAATATTCATTGGGACGTTTCCATACTGGGCTTTACAACCATTCCTACTGATTTTTGCTTGATTTTTAATTTTTAATTTTTAATTTTATGGCTTAATATCGTTGTACAGGATAGGGATAGATGTTTGCGTTAACTTCATATCATCTATGAAATTATATGGTTTAGTTTACCGTATTCATGTGCAGGTTGCAGAGATATTATCCCACTACCCCTCCAACTATAAACAATCTGCTGTCATTCCTTTGTTAGATCTTGCACAACAGCAGCATGGAGGATGGCTTCCTATTTCTGCAATGAATGCAGTATGTTGGCCTGTACTTTGAAGTTTCTCTTTAATTTGACGTCGTGTCAGTAATTTGGAGCATTCCCAAAAATGAATGAATGCTTTAATATTGATAGAGGAAAATGCAGTAGAAAACCTTTTGATATTAAAATTACTATTGCACTCAAACAATACAGAAAAAGTCCAATATATAGACAGGGACTTGGTAGAAAACTCCTGCTGGTACAGCAAACATGAAAACAGAGGATAAAAACAGTCGAGTTGGGGGGGGGGGGGGGGGGGGGNGGGGGGGGGTGGTGTAGATATAACTTGCTTGCTGCACTCCACAAACAAGTCGAGTTGTGCATAACATCCAAAAGTTATCTTGAATATAGCTCCCAGTCCCAAGGAACCTTTTGGCTCCCCAGGTTTTGTTCACCTTCTGTTGAAATAACAAATACCTTTTAGGCCAGGGATATAAAGGCATCCCAGATGTTAATTATAAATTAAAAAAGATATCCCTGAGCTTGGCTAATTTGAACTACTTTTCCCAACTTCACCCTTTGGAACAAGACAAGCGCATCTCAAAATTGGGAGTGTCTTCAAAAGAAAATAATCTAAAAAACTAAATAAGGCGATCTTTTACAGAGGAGATGCATGCTCTCCAAATTCTTAAATTATACAATTTCTGCTTTTTCTATATTTAAATTTGTCATGTACAGCTAATTACAATTCATTTGCTTTCCATTATTTGGGAGACTCGTAATAAGACAAAGCCTCTTCAAATCTATTTGTTCTTAATCACAAAGGAACGCACTTTCGGTTAATTGGAAGTTTATTGTATTAATAGGAAACTTATTTAAGCCTTTGGTTATGATGAATGTTATGTCAATATTTCATTGTAAAGGTACTTTTATGATTGACTCAGGTAGCTAAGGTTGTAGAGGTTGCTCCCGTCCGTGTATATGAAGTTGCAACATTTTATTCAATGTTTAATCGAGCAAAGGTGAGAGAATAAATAAGTCTATATTGTTTCTTCATTTATATTTGGATTTCTAGTATATAAATTTAAAAATTGTGTGGCTACCAGCAAACCTGCTGAACTTCATCAATTGATTTTCAGGTAGGCAAGTACCACTTATTAGTTTGTGGCACTACTCCATGTATGATTCGTGGCTCTCGGGAAATAGAAGAGGCTTTACTGAAGCACTTGGGAGTGAAGCGCAACGGTGAGTGTTATGTAGCTGTTTGCTCATGAAAGGCCATGGTAGAATTCATAATTATTGCAAGCAATTAGAAGTCTAGAGTTGAACTCAATCAACTTATTACTGTTCAGCTGGTCCCTATATGTTCAAAATATTTGATCCACATGAACATCAATCCAAATTTTTACAACAAACCTTTTAGAATAATAATCATGACTTTTCTTATTCTGCAATTTATACATTAAAACGTCGAAGGTATATAGATCTGAAGATAAGCCCCATAATATGTTTGTGATGTGCAGAAGTAACAAAGGATGGTCTGTTCTCTGTTGGAGAAATGGAATGCATGGTGCGATTACTTTCCTTTTCTCTTATTCTATTTCCTTGGCATCATCCCCGACCTTCTTATATACTTTTCTAATGAATAACCAAATTTTCATTGAGAAAAAATGAAAGAAAACGAGGTCATACAAAAAGAAAGCCCACAAATGGTGGAGACAAACTACCAAGAGGGCCGATTATTAGTACTTCAGCTTGATTTGTCTTTTGGCCTGTTTGTTTTTGGTATTTATGTCTGGCAATGTGTTGAGTTATCTACGTTAATGATGATCTGCTATCTGCTTATTTTCTGTAGGGATGTTGTGTTAATGCTCCAATGATCACAGTCGCCGATTACTCGAACGGATCTGAAGGATACGCATACAATTACTATGTGGGTGCAGCATAATATTTTCATTTATCCAACGCAAAATAGACTCATTGTGCTGAAATCAGTATTATCTTGAATTCATGTGTTTTTCTTCATTTTCAGGAAGATGTCACTCCTAAACGGGTCCTCGAGATAGTAGAGATGTTGAGAAGAGGGGAGAAACCACCGGTAAGGAAATTAACTAGCTAGCCTAGCTGATGTCGATGTCGAAATGTCGAGTTCCCATTCTAGTTATCAGATTTCCTTCATGATGTCTTGCATGATCTAATATGTAACATCCATGCCCCATATTCAGCACGGAACACAAAACCCAGGACGCATACGTTGTGGACCAGAAGGAGGAAACACGACTTTGTTAAGCGACCCAAAACCGCCTCCGTGCCGGGATCTTGATGCTTGCTGAAAAGCCTCTATTTATTTCATCCAATAATGCAAATCTGGGATGTATTCAATCAATCAAGCTGCCATAGATTGTTGGTTTGATTAATAGCTATTTTGTCAAATCTCATCCACCTTCCAGGAAGGAAAAAGTTCATATTTACTACCGCCAGAATGGATTCTGGTGGACTTCTCAATAACACGCAACGCTTTCATGTCGTGTTGTCCAAGCTATGCATGCTTCATTTTTTGGAATATTGTATAAACTATAGACGACTTCAGCTGTTTTTATGCATATCAAATTTAGATAATTCTCTAGAAATATAGGTAACAATGTTTAACTATGATTCTATGTTTAAATTTAAATATTAACTATGGTTAGGATCACTCTCATTAGGATATAGTTGCACTTAGATATGTCGACCAACTTTCACATTGGCTATCTCTAAACTACATCCTATGGAAAGAGGTTTCGCTATTTTGTAACCTCGCATGACCAGGATTTGGACCATGATTTGGAATTTAGATTGGGCACCTAGTCCAAATTGGTCATGGGTGTTACAAATGGTATTAAAGTAGAATTTCTTCTTCATATAGTGTTGAGATATAATAGATGGAGAATATATTATTATGATTTGATTTATAGTATATTTTATTTTATTCTCAATATTTAATTAGTTTATATTTTCTTAATGATATGTATTAGTTACTAGCTTGTATCTTATTTAAGGTTTATGAATATCAATGAGAACACACACCTTCGATCCTATTTCTATTTCTCGTTCTTAACATGTAGTCCCGAGAAGAACCAAAGCGAAAACTGGTGGGTATATAACGTTTCGAGTAAAAGAGGAACTTACATTTGAATGAAAGTGAATATCTAATCAATAAAGTGTACCCGGTAAAGTGATTTGGGTTTAGGTGTGATTTTGTGAGTGGTATTTTTGTTTTGTTTATAGTTTTTGTTATTGTGTTTTGTTGGTGATTTGAGTTCCACTTTCTTTGCAAAATAAAATAAAATAAAATAAATAATCACTCTGAAAACATTTATAACAATTTCAATAAATACTAAACATGTTTTAAAAAATTAATTTTATTACTTTCAGAATAATTTCTGAACATGTCCTGAAATCAAACAAAAACAGCCGAATTCGGAGTTCTCCGCCCCAGATCGGCCACTACTCGGATCCTTTTACCATTTCTGATCACTTTCTGTTTGGGTTCGTGGAAAATTTTCTGATCAATCTACGAATAACTCCACAGAATTCAATTACTTCGTTCTCTGAAGTTTGACGAGTTTCTGATCCTCGGTGATTTCTACAGTTGTTTTGATTTCGCCTCTTTCTGTAGCAAATTCTAGGCAATCTTCCTCCGTACAAATTGCCTACATTTTGCTACTTCTTCCTCGAGGTGAGAACGTAGATTTTGATTTGCGTTCATTGAATCTCAGCGACGAACAATGGGAAATTCCTCCTCGATGCTCACTCAATATGATATTGAAGAAGTTCAACAGCACTGCGATAATCTGTGTGAGTGTTTTCGATTTCTGTTCTTTATTCTTTCTTTGGATACTCTACGCTTCTAATTTTCTCGGTTCTCGTTCATTTTGGGTCTGCAATTCAGTTACGCAACAAGAAATAGTGTCACTGTATCAGAGATTTTGTCAACTCGATCGAAACTCGAAGGGATACATCTTGTCCGACGAGTTCTTATCAGTCCCAGAATTCGCTATGAATCCTCTTTCTCAGGTTATTTGAACGATTTCTATGATTAATTTCTTGATGTAGTTAGATTCTGAGCCTGAGTTTGCGAAGTTCGTGTACTTCAATTGGTGAATGATAGTTTATCCTTTTCTTTTGGTATTCCCCAGAGGTTGCTGAAGATGGTTGATGGTTTGAACTTCAAAGATTTCGTGGCATTTTTGTCTGCATTTAGTGCTAAAGCTAGCATCCAACGTAAAATTGAATGTACGTATAAAATGCAGTCTTCCAATTGTTTAGATCCTGTCTGATGACACTCGACATTGGCTTGTTTGATAGTGTTCTCTTGTAATTCAAAAGTCGTGTTCAAAGTTTGGAGCAGAATTTTGGTTTATATTTCCAACTTTCCATACTTGATTGTACACCCTTTATCACATGATTTAGACATTCTAATATTTAAACAGATTGTTTAAGATCATTTTTTCCCCTTTTGCACTTCTGTCAAAACAATGCTCGTATGCTTATGTTTTCGATTCGATGGTGTTAGGAATTGTGAAATAACTATCCAATTTGATTGTAGTGTTCTTCCAGAAGTATGAAACAGTGAGAAAAAGTTGTCAAATGGGATTCTATTGAGGAGTTTTCAAATTCAACGTATTGTAATTGGCTCAATAGGGCCTAGGTAGATAGAGTAACGTAGTGAATTTGGTTGTTATTTTAGTTAGTTGATGTATGGGTTTTGATCCTAAAAGTTATGTGCATGATTTTGAGTAGCCATTTTGATATTTTCTTGGATAGTGTAAGAGTATTGGGTCAAAATGTATATCTTCGAACTTTTTGATCAATTAGGTGCGGGAAGGTATTTCACCACGTTGGACTATAAACTTCTCTCTTAAATAGCATTCTTTCTTTCTAGTGGAGGGGGGCCGCCTTTAGTAGTTATATCTCCTTCAGGGCACTCTTTTCATTGTTTTTTTCTTTTCTTGTTCTTGATTACAGCCACTAACATTATACTCGTTTAACGTATTACAAATTTGAGTGGCTAAAATCTTTTCTTTATAATTTGTTCTCGTTTCACTAGTTATGTTCAAAGTGTACGATGTGGACTTTAATGGGAAGGTGTCTTTCAATGACATAATAGAAGTGCTACAGGATTTGTCTGGTCCCTTCATGTCTGATGACCAAAGAAAGGTACTCAAGACGCTGCACTAAATCTTAGGAGGCACTCACTGGGAGATTTGTATATATTTTCCATAGCTCATGATATGGCATGTTCTAAAGTTTTGCCCTTTTATCTCTTTTGTAGCAAGTCTTGAGCCAACTTCTGGAGGAAGCAGGTTACTCAAAGGAATCCCAGTTAACCCAGGAGGATTTCGTTATGGTTTGTTCTTACTATCATAAATCTCACTGTTTTTCATTTGGACCAACGAGGCATAGTGACATGCTTATCTGACACTATACAAACACAAAAATAATTGATACTTATTTGAAACTTGGATTAATCAAATTGAAAAAATGTACATAAATCGCCTAAAATTAACCAAATATCACCACAAAGATGAAGTAGCTGAAATGTCAAGGAAATACATGAATAGTAATTAACATTCACAATCATATTTGAAGTCTTATTATCAATAACAGTACCTCGTTGCTGAAGTTTAGTCATTTCAAATCTAAACTTGCTGATTCTTCAGCATCTGAACAAACACGTTCCACCTAATCATGGTCGAGTTGCTTCTTTTCTACACTTTAGAAGAACTGCTTCATTATTCACCACATGGTCTCTACCTCTATGTCAACTATTCCATGAATTTTGAGATCCCGTATAAACTATTATTGTACGGCCTTCTGTCATCTGAACTTGCTGAGAATCATTCATAATTTGCTTGATTCATATATTTCTTGTGCTGCAATATATATGTTATATGTATTTTTGTTCTTTTGCAGATTCTTGGCAATTCTGGCCTGAAAATGGAGGTTGAGGTGCCTGTCGATTAAGATGTTGAAGTTTGGAAACGATAGATTACTAGCTGAAGCATCATATATCAATGTCTTTCTCAAGCAATGTTCATTGTCGATGGACAACTTCAATTCCTCAAACATGTTCATTTATGCAATTATTTACTCAACTTAAGCCTGTGGCTCGTCTTTTTGTAGACAGATATTGATCTCAAAGATTACGAACTATCTTAATGAAAATCTCCCTAAAACCAATTATTTCTTGTCAAATTTGCATCAACTACTGTCTCTAACTTCGACTGAACTCGGAAGATCGAGCGATTGAGACATGATAAGTAGGAGAAATCTATTATCATAAACTGAGGGAATCTGATTAGCCATTTAGATTGTCTTAGATGTATGTATGTATGAGGATCATCTGAATTGGTTCTGGGTTATTCATTATACAATATACTTCCTAAGACCATCATATTTGGCTTTTATGGTGAAGATAAGGTTGATGGTTTTAGTATGCTGCAGGGTTTTGATGACGCCAAAGCTTCTGTAGAAATGGAGCCAAAACTTGCCAGCGTGTAGCGACAATCCTCCAAAAGCTGCCATTAGAGACGCATGGTATCCACCGACTTACCATCTTCATCCCGATGACAGGTTTTACTCTAAACGCTTCATCTTGAGAAATGTGCTGCAAATTTTGGTATGTTCTTTTGAGTCTATTTCTTGTATCATTGAAGCTTGGTTACTTGCCACTGCAACCCTCTCAGATAGGCAACATTCATTCACATGTCACAATCATGTCTCCTACCCAACCGCTTCATTTTTTTTCCTTTTTTTTTTTTTTTTTTTTTTTTTTTTTTTTTTCCTCAATCTCTCGTTTGTTGAGAACATGAAAAGTATAAAGCTTTTTGACGTGTTTTATTTTTCCAATACTGTTGAAGCTGAACTTTATTATCATCCGCTTCACATTCTCCATTGTAACTGTTTCCCAAGGACAGCCTCCTCTCCCTCTCTCTCTCTCTCTCTCTCCGAAGCCCAAAAGTTAGAAAATTTTTAGAGGCCAAGTAAGAAAAAGTCTTCTTGTGTTCCACCTTCACACCACAACCGAGAGAGCTTACGAACTGGCCTCAGAAATTGATGAAGCTGACTGTTTTCTAAGGCACAGCTACAATGGCAGAACGCCAAAAACGCCCTATTGGGCATGGATTGGAAGTAGATGATTCACGCCATGAGAAGGCTTTAAGAGCATTTGATCAAAATGGGGTTACGAGAAACTCATCAAAAGACGGTCCCAGTTGGAGAGTTAAACCTTGTGAAGTTGAGAAGATCAGTAGAAGACTGAGCCTTCTTGAAGAAGATACTAGAGCTATGAAGAAAGCTTTGTTTGAGAGTTTGGAGGAAAGAAGAAATCTGTTGTATGAGATAAACCAGCAATTTCAGAGCATAAGCAAACACCATCAACTCTGTAACGAGGTAGCTGAAGATCATGATGAGACACTCCAACTCCCTGAGGTAAAATGCTTTGAATCTTCTGATATACTTCAAATTTCTTGAATTCATACATAGAATGGAATATAGAACGTCTGAACATTGTTTGCAGAACAAAGAGAGCTTGTTTTTGTTTTGTTTTGTTTTACATGAATTCCATAGCCTCGCTG